TTTATAGAACGTTTCAGCCTGCGCTTCGAAGGCCGGCAGGTGCCGATCATGGAAGCTTTGGACCCGGAAATGGGCATCGGCTATGATGCCCTGGAACAAACGGCCTCAGAAGATGATTTTGTAGCCCAGTTTTCGGGCAGGCAAATAAAAGAGCACAATTCAGATGTACTGAAATCACATCTCGCTTCGGCCCTATTCAATTTTGATGGAAAGATGCAAACCATTCAACTGGATACATTGCCCTTACCGGAAGTAACATCGGACAAGACCTTACCCAATTCCCTGAACCTGATGTTTAGCCTGGCGGATGATCATGTATGCCTGGAACATGCTGGTGGAAGCACCGCGAACATCTTAAACGGACGGTTTTCCATAGCCGATGAGGCAATCCACAAGCTGTGCAAAGACATCGCACAGTTGGAGGCCGAAGCCAATCCGGAGGTGACCTTCTTTGACATTGGCTACCTGGTCGGCAGCCGGACCGACAACATCAACCGCCGGAAAAGTTTCTATGAAAAGCAGATGCCTTTATTAAATTATTCCACCGTTAAAGATCCGCTTAGCCTGCGGGACATGATGGTATCCGTTCAGGGGAGCCAGCTCATCCTGACCTCGAAAGCAACCGGCAAGCGCCTGATTCCCCGCATGGCTTCAGCCTATAACTATGGTCATTCAGACCTGCCGGTATACCGCCTGCTCTGCGATCTCCAGCACCAGGGCATTCATTCCTACCTGCACTTCGACGCGGGCAGCTTATTGCCGGAGCTGGACCACTATCCTCGTATACAGTACAAAAATATTATCCTGTCACCAGCCAAATGGATCATCAACCGTTCGGAGCTGCCTGCCTCAACTGATCCCGCGCAATTGGTAGCGGATACACGGGCCTTGCTGCAAACCCGTGGCCTCAGCCCGTACTTTAAAACAGGTATGGCTGACCAGACTTTAGTCTTCGATATGCACAGCGATCAGGACATCAAAGCCTTCCTGATGCTGACGCAGAAACAACAAAAAGCAGAACTGTCTGAAGTGATCCTGCCCAGATCCCCGGACATGCAGGATACCACAGGTAAACCCTATGCCGGGCAATATGTGGTTAGCATGGTGCATGGGCAAAACATCTATCGCGGTATAACTGCGGATCTATCCTCTGCTGATTTGGGAATACAACGGGTGTTTCCACCGGGCAGCGAATGGTTGTATTTTGAGATCTACTGTCATGCGCACCGGGCCAATAACCTGCTTTGCGGAAAAATACAAAGCTTCCTGCACCTACATGCGGCACAGTTACAGCACTGGTTTTTTATCCGCTACAACCAGCATGGCAATCACCTCCGCCTGCGCCTGAAACTCCATGATCCCATTCAGGGGCAACAACTGATCAGCGGCCTTTCCAAGCTACTAAGCCATGAATTGACCAGTGGCATTGTTTCCGACATTCAGGTTAAAACATACCACCGGGAATTGGAACGGTACAGCCCGGAACTCATCGATCATGTGGAGATACATTTTCACCGCGACAGCGCTTATGTAGTCAGCCTATTGAAATTAGACCTCGACAATGAAGACCTCTACCAGTTATGCAGCCAGGCCATACTTCGCATAAGGCAACGCGGTTTGTTAAGTACCCAAACCCTTGGGGAAATTCTTGCAGGAAGCGCAGCCGCCTTTGGCCGGGAACACCACATGAACACCAACGATTACAAAAAGCTCAACGCCCAGTACCAGAAATACCGCAGCAAGCCAGCGGTACAGTTAGAGAATATCCAGCTTGATGCTTTTGAAGCTTTCTGTGCAAGCTTCATCGATGTTTTGGACAAGTGTCCTGAAAGCAGAAGACCACAACTACTGACAGACCTCTTGCACATGCATGTCAACCGCCTGTTTAGCACCTTGCAACGTACCCATGAAATGATCCTGTATGACTACCTGCTCAAAGCCTATAAAGCTGGAAAGGCAAAAGCGAAGTTCCTAATTCATATTCAATCAACTTAAATTTATCGAGATAAGTTAATTGGTATTATATTTCTCTATTTAAATATCGATTGTGATTCGGAAAGTAGCGAATGTAAAATATCAATTCAGAAACATATCGTTTATTCCCGTTTGGAGACCGATCATGCCTGTAAATACCATTTATAAGGTCTTTGTTTAAATGTTGGTTGAATATCAGGCATAACTTTCATTTAAACTTTCATTTTTATGTATCTGTCTAATATTACCAAAGTCATTTTAGGATTGATATGCCTATCTGCTTTCAATATCCAATGCACATTCGAAGACATACAAAGAAAGAAGAAACGAACGCAGGTTAGCTAAAAAGTCTTTAGATTCACTAAATAGACATACTTATGTAATAGATTACGACTTTGGAAATAAACGATTTGTCAATTCTTGCCTTTACCCCTAAGATACATAAACCAGTGGTGTTTAAAATATCCAACATTAACAGACTTGCATATGATGTTCAGATCACCTCAAGAGATTCAATCCTTGCAGAAAACGAAGCCTTAGATGTGAGCGGGGTAAATGCTGCCCAGGCTCAGGTGATACCCAAGACTAACGAATCAAGCGAAGTTACCTTACTCTTAAAAGCAACGAATGAAAGGATTGACCTCTTATCAAAAATAATTGATGATAAGAGTAAATCTAAAGATGCGCCTAATGTAAAAGAACAACAAGCGCTTATTAGAGCAGCAGCTTAAAATATCAGTTGAAAAGGTTAATGCATTAAACCAGCTTAAAGAAGTGGAAAAGAAGGAAGCTTTTCAGATTGCTGAAATAAAAAAATTAGTAACTGATAGTATTATACTAAAAACGGATAGTCCACAATTTGACTTATCGCAGATTAATTTTCGAATTACAAGCCTTCAATCCGAACTGAATTCGGTTGAAGTATTGAAAAAGACATTAGATACAAACATCAAAACGCTTACAAAATCCAGTCAGGAACTAAATCTTGAGGAGAAATACAAGAACGCATTTAAGCAGTATGAAGTCCTAAATTCTCAGTTATCAGCAATTTACGAAAAAATAAGACCTGAATATGCAGAATGTTGGCATTCTTTTCAAGACTGTACGTATCTGTATGCACTTGCCAGTGATCCATTAACGACCTATAGCCTTATGAAAAAAGATACAGCATTAAAAGATAGGTTCTCATTTACTGGCATTAGGACTCAATTAGATAATGTCGAAAAATTTTTCGCTCATATTTCTGAATATGAACTGGTTTGGGACGCATATAGCCATAAGGAATTAAATTATCTTGAAAAAACAGAAAGACTCAATTATCTGGATGCCTACCCAAAATCGATGAAAAATAAGGTTGACCGTATGAAGTCTGCAATTCTAAAAGATTCCTTATTCAAATTAATTCCAAAAGTTAAGATGTATTATGATCAGTTAACTGATTCCCTTAATTATCAGGTTATATCTGCACCTATCCAACCCTCCGCTGATCTGGTCGTCTTTGATATTAAAATTAAAAACCGCAGGGATGCTACGATACAGGATAGTAGAACATTTGAGTACAGGGATTATGTTCGTGGCGGATTAAGATATGATTTCAGTACGGGCGTAGTCTTCAACATCGGCATCGGTGACAGGACCTATAGGGTAGAAGGAGCTACGGATGATTCTACCCGCGCCGAAATAAAAGCCAACGACCCTAAAAATGAATACCGCCCACAGATTGCGGCTATGCTCCACGCAAGTATCCGTTCCAGGCACCTTGTAACTGTCGGCTTCGCCTTTGGGGTTTCAATTAGCACCACAGAATTTGACATCAGTTCATTGTTCCCTGGTATAAGTTTAATGGTTGGCAGACGGAACAAATGGATTTTAACAGCAGGACCGGCCCTAAAAAAAGTCATGTTTCTGGATGAAAAATACTCCTTAGATAGAGGGTATAACAAAGAAGAATTGACCAATGCTACGCTCACAACGGCGACGTTTAGAGTTGGCGGATTTATTGGCATCAGTTACAACCTCACGGCAAAACAGAAGGGTTACTTTAAACTCTAAGCAACTTTCCCCAATAAAAAAGCCTGACCAACATGGTCAGGCTTTTCCCGTTTTAAGGAACCAATGAGATGATGAATTTCAGCGAACCCGTGTATTCGGTACCGCTGATCTGGTTAAAGGCCAACGATGCCTTCGTCCTCAGTACGAATGACCTTACTGCTGTAAGTATTCGGATCGATCACGAAAGGCTTGTCCAATAGAACAGGCTGGCGATTGACGAGGGCATTGTAAAACTTGTGAGCCGCGTCATCAATCCACACTTGGTCAATACTCCCCAGGTAAGTCTGTTGGTCGATGTCCAATATAAAATTGGCAATGATCCAGGCGGGAAAATCGTCCTTCGCTTCTTCCGCTTCAGCAAATAATAATGGGTCAGTTAAGGCATACAATTCTTCGATTTTGTTAGCCACTCCTTCCGGAGAAAATGATTCCTGTGTCGGCATAAATTCATTTTTAAGGTTTAAGATTCAGTTAATTTACTAAAGACAATGTAGTAAATACCGATACGTAATACAACTAAAACGTGTTGTTTAAGCCTTATGTATCGTAATTTTTACGCAAACATCTTCCTAAGGACGATAAGGATAGGCTTTTGATGCAATACATTGGATATTATATGTTAAATAATTAATATATTGCGACTTTCTGGTATTTTAAGTTGTAGGACATATTAGTTTTTGAAAGCCTTGCCCATTGAGTATAAAGATCTGAAGTTTCGCATTGTTGCCTCCGTGATGGGTGCCCATATTTTTACCGTATACGGAGAACCGGAAAGTAGTTTGGAATGGCTGCTCC